TATTTAAGTGTTGTTGTTTTTAATAGAATTTCTTTTAACTTTTTATCACAGAAAATTCCAAATCTACACACTGCTTAAAGCAAACAGAAAAGCATAACAAAGCCCATATGCCCACTACCCAAATTCAGTGATTATCAACATATTTTCTATCTTATGTCATCGACACCCCAGCCCCTTCCCTCATATATCAAAGACACATAGTATGAAATTTAAAAATTGGTAGAAGTTATTTTTAAACTACTGTGTATTCAGGATGAAGCATATTACTTAAGAGGCATTTTTTTCCCAGTTTACCCAGGAAAAGAGTGGTGTACTCTCCCCACAACATGAAAATGTGGATGAAGTAGACAGTTAGTAAATAAAATCATACCTCAAACACCAGAAATTCAATGATCTGGGTTTTCAATTTCTAATGGAATTGATATGGTGCTGATGTTCACCAGTGGAATCTCTACTCTTCCAATTCTCCCACTCCTCTAAACCTCTCAGCCTTTCTTTCCTTCTCTCCTTGTTTATTTTTGCCTCTCTATAAATCATAGATAATAATAGTTCCCACATCATAACTTGTTAGATTTTAATGACAGCCTCCAAGGACAGGTGCCAGTTAAATGAAACATATAATTAAAATTTGTGCTATTCTAAAATTGGGTTACTTGGCAATACTCCAATCAGGGACCAGTCCCATTCAGATGATAGGCATGTAGTATTTATCCGGTTACAGCGTGTTCGGCAGATTCAGTGGAGGCCAGTCTTTGCTAGGTGCCAAGAAGATGATGGAATGCTTAGTTGGACATACCCACATTTCAGGTGTTTCTACTTGGCACCTGAATAGACGTTCTACACCTTGAGACTTTGGCAACCAGTGTTCTTGTTCTTGATGAACTCAACAATTGGGGTGAAGGCTATATATGTTTTACCAAGCAATTAATCTAGGTATGTGTATAAATGCAATTATCATACCATGCAGTAAGTATGGCATGATAAAGTTATTTAACCTCTATTACTTCCTCACTAGGAAATGGGAAGGCATGGTCTCAGTCTCAGTCTTGGACATACACATCTTGCTGGATGCCATGCTGTCCTTTCAGCCATGGCTGTCCTTTTCCTACAAGGAATATCTCTTGAGTATTGCTGCCTGGTGAAACCCCTGAGACTCCTTTGGCATTTACTCAAGAGCAAGCTCTGTGACTTTGTTGCTGTCCTCTGGTAACTCTTCAACGTTTCACTGATTTCTGGATCTTTGGGTTTGTCATGTCTGCCCACTCTGCCGAGAGAGGGACTTAGAGTTTCTACTGAAAAAAGGTCATGATCATTTCATCTGTAGCCCTCGAAGATTGACACCCTGCATGCATTTGTGCCTGGCTCTAATTCTCTTGGCCCCACTAACCATTGAGATGCATTCCCTTTTACTCTTGGACTCCTAGGTCTTCAATCTTTATGTTACACATGATCCTCTGACGACCGTCTCCTCTGCCTGTGCAGTGTCTCTCAGACAGTATGACTTTACTAGCAAGATGTATCTATGTTCTTGTTAGGCTCCTTGTTAATAAACTGGCTGGCAGACACATCAACCAGACTCCTCTCTGTTTTGTAGCTAAGTCTTGAGAGTCAGCGATGTTTCTGGCCAACCTCAACTCTTAAACCTGGGCCTCTGCAAGTCAGCAGTCATTCTACAACTTCTTTTCCCCAAACAGGTGTCACTTGCAGGTTTATCCTGTTAGGAAATCAGCCCCTTCTCTATGCTCATTTGATCCAGTTTTCCATTTCAAATTCTTCCCTTCTCCCATAGCTTTGTTCGAGGCACAGGGGGAAATGTTTCTACTGTTCAACCAGAAACACCTTTATTTTTAAATCATTTAAATGTTCAGCCTTCCTGCCCTGCTGTATGTGAGTTCCACACTAACAAATGCTCTATAAAAAGATATGGATGTAAGTTTTATTTGATTTTCTTTTGATTAAATCTGGATTTTTATTTTAATCAGTAAGAAAAGGCACAAACCATTAGGAACACATTCAGGGTAAATTAATTGCTTACCAAGTTTTCATGCTGTCTTCAAACCACATTGAACCACTTGTTTTACATGCATTTCAAAGGCTGGTACTAGCTTTCATTTCAGGAAATAAATGACACAGGGTATTATATTTTAAGGACCATTAAAACCTTGAAATTGCACAGTGACTTAAAAAACAAGTTATTTAGCCCGGATAGCTTTGTAATGCTATACAATGGGGAAATTCATTGTTAAATGACCCTCCCACTCTCACTTAACAAATAATGCTTGTCAGGAAGAGGAAGAAGAAATGAGACTAGCATCCGGGTACACAGGATGTAATATACATGGTGTCAAACATTATGGGTCTGTGTACCACGTGGATCACAGAGAATGCACCAAATGTTCCCCAATCTTGTGCTCATTGGCCCACGACTGATGATTAGAAACTATTTTTGCCTGGACTAACGAGGCTAGTTGACTGCTGTTGTCATAATTCCAAACCTCTATATTCTGTTACAGAAGCTGCTCTCATCTATATGTTAATATGTTTGCGAAAAACAACAGAAGGTAGCTGTGATATTATTAATGAAACTATTCTAATATAAATGACTTGGGAATTCTATTAAGTGGCATTTGAATCTGGTGTTTCTGTGTCTCATTTATCACCTTTCTAACCTGTTCTTTTACACCTTTGTTAGAACATCTATGAAAGTGATGAAGCCAGATTAAAGGCAGAACATGACAAGTTCTAAAATAACCAGAATGAAAACATAGAGAATTCTTTTGAGCAAAATTACAAACCAACTGCAACGCTAACGCCGAGCAAACCCCACCTGTTTTTATGATGAAAACTACACAACATTTGAATGGACAAAGAAGCAATAATTGCTTAACTAACCAAAGTGACTCCATTCATTGTCTTTCTATTGCACGTTCATGCAGGTTTCCCCTCTAAAGTACACACATAGTTTGGGGTTTTTGAAAATATGATTTACATGTGGCACAGGAGGAGAGATGTGTTAGAAAACTATAAAGTGTTCTTCCTTGTAAAAGCAATGTCCTCTCTTGTTAATGTGGAGGATGCTTTTCCCCAAGCACTCATTCCCTGCTCAAGGCAGTGTAGCCACTAATGAGGAAAACACGGCAAGTACCTCAGTGGAATGTTCTCCTTTGTTTATCTACAGGAAGTTCATTCTGCAATGGGGAGAAGCCCTTAGTATCAATGAGTTTGAAAGTGCTCAAGTTCTGCCAAGAGGAAAGTTATAAAGCTTTGTGTACCCGCAATTTAAATTACTCTAAAGCAAAGCAAAAGGATCTCTGATCATCTCAAAGAACATCAACCACACTACTTAGATGGTCTCCGTTTATAACATACATTCCATCTTATTTACATGGGTCCCGTCTCCAGTTACAGGGTCGCTGGTTCGCAGGACTCGAAGATGTACATCTAAAATGATGAACTCTGTTACCGGCACTTGCCACTTGTTAGAGGTATATGATGTTTTCCGGCCTATTTGAGGTTTCCAGGGTCGTTCCAGTTACTGGCAATCAGTCCTTGAAAACGACTCTTTGCCCAATAATAATGAGCACCTTCAGATGGATTTTTTAAGAAGATGGCATTAATTCAGAATATAAATTAAGAGAATTCGTTTGATGGTGAAAAAGTACTAACCTACCCACACATTTCGGTTTCATGTATAAAATATAAATGGCATGTGAACTCTCCCTTGTGTCCTCAGAGAGACCTGCAGCTTTTTTTTTTCCTTCTGAAGGTTGTTCAAAATATGCTATTTTAAACATAATAATCCATAAATAAAATATAGTGCTTGCCAAAATTATTTTCACATATATATAGGGCCTTTAGTTCTTGAACTCTGACTTTCTCCCGAGATACAATTTAAGAGCTTTAAAAAGTCTTTAAAAGTCTTGCTATGCAATATTCAGGGTTTGCGTTTCTGTATGGCCAAATTGCTCTGTTGTTATGAATACTGTATGTAAAATTACCAGATTGCCTGGCATTCCATTTTTACAGGGGACCCTGCATCATTAAGCATTGAAAGAATATAATATAACTATTCAAACTGCTTAAAATATTTGGTAACCATAAATTATTATCCAAAAATATTTTTCAAGTAGATAAAAAGAGTTGTCAATTCTGCATAGTGAATGCCTCATAAGGGGCTCGTTTGTGGTTGAAAACTGAATAAAAGCAGTAAATTAAGACCAGACTTAACCAGAGAGAAGCTGTAATCCACTGCAGATTTCCTTGGTGAATGAAGTATTGTTATGTGGACTTATCCTCCTTGCTTGTACAGTTAACCAGTCACATCTGTGGCCACAGTGCTGTCTGTGCTCACAGACAACGTGGGTTCCCTAATGCCGAGGAGGCAAGCCCACGCTGGTTTACATTGTACTGATAAGCGCAAAATAAACTTCACAACTGTTTCACGGCGGCTGCCTTTGAAAGGGCAGATAGGATCTTGAAACTGAACCATTGTCAAGCGCGCACACACACACACACACACACACACGAAATGAGCGGGGCGAGTGACAGCAGGTGTGCAGTTTTCTAAACGGCCTGGTGTCACCAGAGGGGGCTGCGACGCTGCGACGAAGCCGAGGGAAGGTGGGTGTGGGAAAGGGACTGGAGCATCCGGGCTGTCTGAATGCAGTCAGAGCTGAGGACTGGCGGGAATATGGTATACGTTAAAGGAGCATCACTCATCATAAATATTCAATTTCAAGAATTTAAATAGTTTACAGACATAGAAGCCCTTGATGATTATTTTATCCAGCATTGTTGATTTTCAGCTGTTGTTCGTTGGCAGCCAGGATAATTAATGAATAAGACCCAGGAAGTCCTGACAACGAGTCAGTTTCGTCTTAAGCCTGCATAGTTTTCTTGGTGATTACATGCCAATAAAATAACTGACTTGTCTCTTTGTAAATTAAACGAAAGAGAGCCAAGTAAGTCAGATCTCTGCTATTATTATGTTTTTCTCTTAGAGCCCAATGTTTCCAAAGGACATTAATTTTGATTTCTCTGATGAAGGCGTGTGGCTGCCCCTCATGTTTTACAAAATATTACCAAGTCAGAGCCAAAAAGAGAATCGTAAGTGACCGATATTTCAAAACAGTTATTTTTCATTATTTAGGAAAAAAAATTCTCAGATCTCTTGGCAATTCATCCTCATATATTAAGAGATGTGGGAAAAGAGGAGAGAGAAAAACAAGTGAAAAATGATTTTTTTCTTCTGTGGAAGGCTGATATTTAAACATTTTAAGAGTCAAACACATTGCTAAAATATTATTTTATAAATGAGGTCAGCTTTACAAGGAAAAAAGTTTATTCTGGAACATAAGCAGCTATTTGGACCTTAATGTTTCAGGAAAATATATGTAAAGCTTCTTTGAATCCTTCAGATCACGAAATGTTTCTTGGAATTTTTCAAAATTGGTCTATTGCTTTTCTTTAAGAGGGAAATATTTAGGCTAATGAAACTTTATCAAATTCAGTAGCTCCAACTAAAGTGTAGACTAGGTTATCTGCTCAGGAAAAGGCCACTGGGACTTAAAGTAACATGGATCTCCTTTTATTAGTAAAGTGATCCCAGAAAACATGAGCTTTTCCTAATATGTGCTGAATTTGGGTTGATTCCTGAGAATAAAGTTTATAATTATCATCTCTGCTTAATTCAGGAAAACCACAACTTGATTATACCCATTACATCTTTACAAGGAAAGATGTTTCTGAGGAAAGCACAGTCTTAAAATCGCTAACATTGCAGGATATAGACTCCATCAATACTTCTGGAGTTTCAAAAGCTTTTTCTCCCAATTAGTGAAAAGGGGTACCCGTCTAGTTGTGTATAGGTGTAGCTCAAATTGACTGCAAATATTGTATAAGTGCCTGAACCTAAAGACAATGTTTTTTTTCTAATCAAAAAGAATTATTTAAATATCACACACACACACACACACACACACACACACACACACACCTTTGAAGTTGAGGGGGAAATTTTTTCAGTAGAGACTGTCATTGGCAGGAAGTTACCTTTTGATGCGTTGGAGTTCTATTTTCTAAAATGGTTGCAGATTGAACAACATAACGATTTCTGGTTATACTTTTCCATAGGTTCAGTGTACTGCAACAATTTCATAAAGTAATAGGACTTCCTCCTTAAGAGAAAAAGTGCTCATTAGCGTCCCTAATCCCATGTTGTGCTGTGCGTTAAGCGTTGTGAAAAGGTTATGGATCTACTCCCTGTAGCATCAAAAGTGTAAAGGTGATAGGTGAGATTCTCTTTGTTGCAAGTGCTGAGAAATAATCATTTAAAGGTCAGTTGCACTAAAAAAAAAAAAGAAGAAGAAGAAGAAAAAGAAAGAACATTTGTTTAATAAGTAACTTATCATTTTGGGATATGCTGCACTTTTAAAGGTTACAGAGTAGACCGATTTGCCAGTGATGTCAGCAAGAAGTACTATTAAAGTCACTGGTCCTGTAAAAACAATCCTTCGTAAAATTCAGATTGCATGCCTTCTCACATATCCCAGCACACATCAAAAAGGTGCCTGAGCTATTTATAGTGTGGCTTCAAGTAGACTTTGCCTTGTACACTCTACCCTTAAGTACTCAGCTCCTCTTAAAAGCAACAGTGGAGTGTTAGGTAAGAAAATATGTTAGTACACACACGCATGCATACCCTCCCACATCTGATTCATTCTATTTTGCTCCATTGTTTTCCAGTTTTGTAAATGTCTAAAGACATGCCTATGTGTCTTGGATTATAAGATTTCTCACTGGATTGTACACCAATAACCATCATGCTATGAATTCTTACATAAAATGAAGTAAATATTGAATCTGCTATATAAATAAAAAAACTATTCATTTCTATCATTTTCAATTCCAAGACCAACTTTCACCCATTACTCTTCCCCAAAAAAGTCAAAGAGAATTTAGTTTGGCAATAAAATGGAATATTAATCTAATAATTGAAAAAAGAGAAGTAACAAAATTTTAATATGAGTAAACTTTTTTAATACCAGGTTTTTTCAAGACTGTATAAAAATGGTGGTTTATTCAGTTAACTTTTGTACTATTAAAATGTTGCCATTAGAGAATGATGCACAACAAATTAAAGGTGTTTTTTTTAATGTTCAGCATTTTTGAAGCAGTGTTTTAAACTGGCAATAATTTTCTCTAGAAGATTAGCTCTTGACTCAAAATGAGTATATGAATAAAATGACTTCAAGAAAAACTTCTGCAGAAAACAATCCATCTGAACACTTGGTTGCTTACAATTTAAATTTACGTTTTTACTCTTTACGAAGGTTGCAAAGCTTCCTAGTTGTGACATATTGTCGATGGTAAACAGTGAATTCTCAAATTTTTATAAGGAGTTGATTTTTAACATACTGAATAAAAAATTTCATTACACTATATTTTCATGCAAATGCATTATACTAGATTAAAGGAACTAGAAAGCATATAGCTCTTGCCCTATTGTGAAGCAAGAACGGTCTTTATGTACATAAGACATTTGCAATTAGAAGACAATACGACACTCTTATTTTAAGCAACTTAACTAAGAATCAAGTTATTCTCTTAATTTGCCTTGCTTTTCATTTGGAATAGGGCAAAATCTATTTCCTGAGCAATTTTGCAGAGCAAAGATATTAATACTTTAGGGTTTAATTGTATCCTGTGTTTAAATACACTGTGGGTGAAACCCAGACCTCTGCTTAATTGCTGTGAGAAAATAGCCTGATTTCTCTGAGATTAGGCACACGCTTATGTATACTTTGACCCAAGAGTGCCTCCTTCAGAATTAATCTTCTAAGGTAGAGGGATTTGCTTTTATATGTGCAGCAGGGCCATTCGTGACAAACGGGGCCTAATAAACTAACTTCACCCTCCAGACCTCGCTTTTGCTGTCAACGTTTTTCTTCATCTATTCATTTCACACATCTCTTGTCCAGTGGCTTATTAGCAAAACCCTAAACCGGGCAGGAGGAACAATTTTAATGGCGTTTTTTAATTAGAGGACTTTGAAATTTAAATCAAATACTTCAGAACTAAAACTGTTTTAAAAAAAACTTTCATTGTACTAATGAAACATAAAGTGTTCTAAAATAACTACATTTAAGTAAATACCCTGGCCCTGTGAAAAGACAAACGATTCATATTTACTTAAAATTTTGTTCTGCAGCTGTATTCTGTTGGATTTGTCTAATGTAGGAAAGCACTTTTTTCTTTCCCATCAGCTACCTCAGAATTGTTTTTGTAAGATGTAACAGAATGTTCTGCTTTTTAAATATTTATATTAATCAGAGTTGGGCCTGTTTATATTTTTTGGCAATAGGGCTTTTCTTTAAAAGTGATGCACTTCCAGTTAACTAAACAAAAGTGTTGAAATGGCCTGTCACATAAACTTCAACATAGTACAGTTTGTAATAGAAATTTTGAAGATAGGAAGAAGGGGAGCTGGTTTCTAGGCTTCAGGTTAAACATGGATTAATAAAATGTGCGACACTGGTAATTTCCAAGATTTTCCTGAGGAAATATCCTTCATTGCCACTTAAAAACTATAGAATTACCTGATTGAAAGGTTTGCATTCAAGTTTCTTGCTCCATTTTCTTGGAGCATTAATAATCAAGCCCAAAAGCTGGCTAAAAAATGATAAACCACTAAAGCTGGGGCTTACTAAACCATTCATTATATTTTTTTAAAAAAGAATGTTTATATTTTATACATTTCTAAGTTATTTTTGTAATGAAAAAAAGAAAACCTTCATGTTATTTACCTGCAATCTTCTATATTTGTGAGCAGAAACAGTTCATACTAAGGCATTTCTGCAGTCAAATTTCCAGTAACTGTTATTGCTATAAGATTAGATTGGTTAATAAGGAATCATGTAGTCAATCTAGACTCTCACAAGGAAAATGGAGTCTTTATTAAGTATTTAAACAGCAAACCAACCTTGATGAAATCCAAAGTTTATGTAATTCTTTTGTAGTTTGGACAATCCCAAATATTCTGGAAGCCTAATAAGCACAGCTTTAAGTCTTTAATAAAGACTTCATTGGGGATTTTGTTGTTATTTTTATCTGGTAGCTCCAATTGTATTGATTTGCTTCTGTGGGAAATAATCCTAAAAAAAAAACATGAGTAGAACCAGAGCATTTAGTCCCTACCATGGAACTTTTAAATGTTTTTTGCTTCAGGGAATGGTAAGCACCTATGAAACAAACAGGAAGTATTATTATGCATTGCAGGCCCCAGGGCTAAAGGTCTCCTGTTCGAACTTTTGCCCTTCCAGAATCCCCGATCCTTCATTATTCAGTTTCACTTGATGTAAGTCTTGACCAGTAGGTGACTCTGAGAAAACATTTCCTGACATCATTTTCAGAGGTGATGTGGGATTATTATGCTTGCCTTTTCCTTTTGGGTTGAGGGTGAAAAGTCCAACAGTGGTTCCTGGTTAATACTCCATGTACGGTCTTTTTAATTACCAGGTCAGGCTAATTCATTCCTCTGGCCTTTAGCATTGCAGCTTTATTTTCAAACATTGGTTAAAATAATCAATGCACATACACATTTATAAACACACAAACACATATTAAGAGGCAAAATATACTATAGCAGAACAGTATACGAGAAGTAGGCTCCTTTTAATTACCTCGTTGCTAATGTGAAGTGGTAAGGGAAGAACAAAAGAAGTCAGGGCATAATAAATATAAAACCTAAATCTCTAAACTAATTTACTTTTTTATTGTACCAGCCAAAGCCAATGAAAATAAACATGTATTCAATTATGTTACACCGTTATGGATTATTATTAATATCTTGTTTCCAATTTTATGCAATTTTGGTATAATCTAAATCTGTGCATTAGTCTAGGTAGGGGGTTTTGCTTGAGGTAATTGACATTATAGAGTCCAAAGCCGAGACAGAAGAAAACATATCTATAATCTGTACCCATTTCCAAACAGAGAGGGATAATCGGACCAGGTCTTCTATTGTGTGTCCGCCCTCTTCATGCAGCGTGTTCCTTTGAAGTCAGAGGGAGCTGGAGGAGCCAAGGCTGAGAATGTGGCTGGAGAAA